AATCAATAGAGACACAATCAAGGAAAACATTCTTTTACCATGGCCATGAACCACCTGGGGGATCTGGTAGGTACAGTGTCAATTCTTACCCTACCTCCCTCTCCCAAAGTCCTTGTTTTGGTAATAAAACACAATAATTTAAATCAGGAAAATTGATAAAGAAGAAAACCAGATAACTCAAAGAAAGCCCCTCAAAATAGCTACTAGTATAGGAAATCGCACCATGTCTAGTACAATTCAGAATTTACAGGTACATGTACAGTATGAGTGATGTTTTGAAAGTTTTCAAAATTGGACAAGCTTTTAGGGGAGTGTGATTGATTTCCTATACTACAGCTGTAGCTATTATTATTACTATTACTTAGTTACTAACTACATAACTCTATAAATCCTGAATTGTACAAGAAGGTTGTGCATAATAATTGATTTTTTGTTTATGATACACTCAAAAAAATTGAGCATTTTAAGTGGGACTCTACAGATTACCATATGGGATTTAATTGTACTCCTCTCGTCCAATCAGAATCAAGTAATTTTGATGGGTGTATTATGAACTAGGGTAAAACCTAAAAACCTTACCCCTCAGCACGTATGTTAAAGTCTAGTCCAGGAATCTAAAAAGCTCAATTCATATTCAATGTGTGAGTTCTCTGTACATGTACATGCCATATATAACTTTGATAAAATTAATATGTTGGTAAAGGTTTTACCAAGCTTTAATGACTAAATTTCTGAATCCCCACCACCTTTTAACTGTCTTAATCCATATTTTCCTTTTTAAGACATCAAAAGAGGTGAAATCAATGCTCAATGGGTATCTTGGAACTAAGAAATTTGCCAACAAAACGAAATTTGATGCAGTAACCTTTCTACCACCATCCAATGTAAATCTGCCCAAAGATGTGGACTGGAGAAAGAAAGGCTATGTGACTCCAGTGAAAAACCAGAAAGCCTGTGGATCTTGTTGGGCATTTAGCACAGTGAGTTTGATGTAAACTGATATGCAGTGGATATAGGGTTAAATTAAGATCTCTTTACCTTCGTATAATAAGAACATGGGTAATAGGTAAAATACGAGCCTGTAGATGAATTGACTGAAGAAGAGTGCCAAACAAGCCTTTCGCAACTTCAAGTAGCATAAAAAATGAACTGGCCTGCTCAACTAGAAACCATGGACAGCTGTTTCGGCCTTCCATACATTGTTTCATTGTTACATGGTCATCCAAGAGAATTTTGGAAAGTTCTATGTACTGTACAGTCTTAATATTTAGAAACAAGAAAAGGGGGGCCGCATGATGGGACTCTGTTACCTCCCCCTGCTTCTGCCACAGTGATGTACTGTAGCTCATCTGTAGACAGTAGTATGACTCACTTGAAAATATATAGAGGATATTACATGACTGCGCCATGTGCAGAGATACAGACTTTATCTTGATCAAGTGTTGAGGTCAACATGAGAAAATAAAATCCGCTTCTCCAACCTACCATTTATTATTCTGCTTATATGTACAATTATCAATCAAATGCAATTTTACCAATGGCGTTATCTTCAGATGTGAAGATATCATTTAATATCATCACATGTGTAGATATAAGATCACTTTTTAGTAAATAAATAGAGGAAAAAAAATATTTCATTGATGATTATATATTAAAAGTGGATTGTATAGTAATTATATAGTATTGATTATATATTAAAAGTGGACGATTATGTAATCTTGAGGTCATATTATATAGTCTATTATTTACTTTTTTGCAATCTTCAGACTGGTTCTCTGGAAGGACAACACTTCAAGAAGACAGGAAAACTAGTGTCTCTGAGTGAACAGAATCTTGTAGACTGTTCCCAAAAATTTGGTAACAATGGCTGTGAGGGTGGACTGATGGATAATGCATTCAAATATATCAAGGCTAATGGTGGAATTGATACTGAGGAGAGCTATCCCTATCTTGCACAGGTATCCACAGTTCACATTTTAGCCACAAAAGAACCATGAAAGGGACGGGATAGGCTGTGGATACTTCACATCCCTGGTGGTTGAACAAATAGATGTGATTACTTCCCCCCCCCCCCCCCCCCCCCCCCCCCCCTCTCCAAAAAAAAAAATAAAAATGCAACCAACAACAGCAACTAATTTTGTACCTAGTGCCTTAATTTCTTACTTGCCGATGCTGTGCAGTAAGAAATAAGGCTCTGGGTATGAAATTGGATTGCATCAAAACATGACATACTGTATTACTTTACAATTATTAGCCTAAGGCGAAGTGAATATCAGGGAATATTTACTGAGACGCCAGTCTTCGTGCAGCAAGGTAAATATTTCCTGATGTTCGCTGAGGCTGAGGCAAATAATTGTTTTGGTATAAATACACAGGTTATTCTTTCAAAAAAAGAAAAAAAAGAAGATAAAAGACATTTTTTTCCGGTAACAGCAACGAAGCGGCCTGCTGCCATTTTGGATTATCGCTAGAGGTGATTATCGTGTGATAGTGTATGAGTTTCTCAACCAATCAGCGCGCGCGATTTTCAATAATCACCTATGTATTTTTACTAAAATCTAATATCCAATGATCAAAAAGTTATAACTATATTTTTGAGATTGATTTGAGAAAACCAGTGGTATTTAGGGAGGAACTTTGTATCCAATTCAAAACTTCCTAATTTTTCTATGTTTTTTTGATATAATATTCAAAAATAATATCGTTCATATAATATTCATATCATATTCATCTGATAAGAAAAAAGAAGAGATAACTAGCTAAAAACTAGTGTGATAAAAAATATTTAGAAATTTTAAGTTTTGCCATTTATCCTGAGATTCGAGACAACACCAAAAGAAGTATTAACTCACACAAAATGTGCTTATCTTATGACCATCAGGATGAACAGTGTMATTTCAAGAAACAAGATGTAGGTGCCACTGACAGTGGATATGTAGATGTCAAAACCCAAAGTGAGAAAGACCTACAAATGGCTTCAGCAACAGTGGGTCCCATCTCAGTAGCCATCGATGCAAGCCATACTTCCTTCCAGTTCTACAAGAATGGTGTCTATGACGAGCCAGATTGTAGTAGCCTTCAGTTAGACCATGGTGTACTGGCGGTTGGTTATGGTGTATCAGATGATGGCATTGATTACTGGCTCGTCAAAAACAGGTTAGTGAATGAAATGAAACTTTTATTCCCGGCTTTATTTTAATTCCTGATGGGGGGATTCTTGTGCTTATGTCAAAATTAAGGTTCCCACGTGAGGTGCAGTACTGTAATCTGCTTTTCAGACTAAATCTTTGACGGTGGTATTCGTACATCAAGATTTTCTGCAGTGAATGAAAAACTTATTTTCGTGATGACTTCGAAAAGAAAACTTCGGAAAGGAGCAAAACGAATTTGAAAAAACAAATCCCCATCCTAGAGATCATTTTCAGTTTTTTTGTTGGGAATTTGAGGTGCAAAATACGAAGAAATTCATTCATAGTTGTGGGTGGTTGAATGATCGGTGCAGAAAGCTGCATTCCTTTTAACTGTACAATACATATTTCTGGATATCTTGTCATATCTTTGCCTCTTCTACAAAATTCACTCCACTAAATAAATTTTTTCCAAATTTCATTTTCATCTAACAGTGTTATCTCTTTTTATTTATTTTATTTTATTTTATTTTATAGATGGGTTTAGCCCATATTTATATAGCTTGAAATAACCATATTTTGTAAACTTCATTTCAGCTGGGGAACGACTTGGGGCATGGATGGTTACATCATGATGTCTCGTAACAAGAACAACCAGTGTGGTATTGCAACTAATGCTAGTTATCCTCTGGTGTAATAACACGCCAGGACATAGATAGGACAGGGTATAGTCTTGTTCTATTGCCTTCAAAGTTTAGAGAAAGCTAAATAGTGCTAGCATGCTTTCCATTCTTAGTCATTGAAATGTATAGACTCAATTCAAAAGGTTAATTCCATCAGTTAAATGGAGAATTCAATCAGTAGGAGCTAAACGTCAAGAATGAGAAACAATAGTTTTAATTTTTTTTAGCAATAGAAAGTTGGTTTTTAGAATGTAAATCTTCCAGCGCTGTGGTCATGGGTGTGATCGTCAGACTTACAATCATATCTTAGTATATTTTAGTTACTCGTTGGTTCTCTCAGACTGTGCTTCGAGATTTAGTGCTATTTTTCTCCGGGTTTTTTGGTTTTTCTTCCTATAAAAAAAAAAAAAAAAAAAAAAAAAAAAAAAAAAAAATGATGAGTTTGAAATTCCAGCTCGTGTCCACGCGTTGTACTTTCTTCTCAGTTTCATTCCATAATTTTTATTTTATTTTAAATAATTTTAAGTTCAAAAAATGTTCTCTTGGATTCGCCCAAACCTTCCTCTTACGAGTATAAACTTAATCGTGTGAAAATTGTTCACTATTTTATTTAAACAAAACTACACAACCTAGTTTATATTTAAACAAGATAAATATTTATAGACACAAGGTCAATATTAAATAAATGTTGTATGTGCAACGCAAAAGCCATCGTTATGATGCAACTCAGAATATTACCATGAGAACCAAAAGGCAGATATGGCGGTCATGTTGGTGCTAATAGAGTTCTTCAACTCCAAATTTCCAGGAAGGTTTTTGGCTTTTTGTTTATCTAACACGGAAGTAACAACACGAGAACTTGAAAAGCGCTCTAAACCAAAAGAACGAGTAAGAAATCTTGTGTTTAAAATGTCAACATGTTCGCCATTAATTATCATTGATTATAAGAGAGCGATTGACCGAACTCGTAATTACAAATGCCGACAGTTTAGTTTGCTGTGCAATACTGAATTTGCTGTGCAATACTGATGCCCAAGTAATAGCAGTATAATAAACAATAGATTGACAAAAAAGTGTTATCATGCAGTTGTATTTTTAATTTATTAAAATAAAATTAACGCGAAAGCCATAATCATGGAGATGGGAAAATCTTGGAACTAACTATAGCTAATCTGATATAGAGAATTGCATCATGGCAGTATAGTTTGCCCACAGGGAGCCCAATTTATGATCTTATCTATACATACTCTGTCAGGGTATATATACATAAGATCAACATCAGATACCGTAGGGAAATTATATAGGAAAACAAAGGTGCGCGCGAAAAAAAATGTTCTAGTGCATATTTCATTGATTTTTTTTACTCTTTCGCATTACGGAGGACATTATCTTGATCTCGAATTTAAAAATAATTAACTATTTAATTTTTCCGATTTTATTTTCACCGTTCACTTGAATCTAAATTGGGCAACCTGTGGTTTGCCAATTCTCTCCCTTGATTCAAGGGTTTTAGTCTCAGGGTACCGGGTTCATCTTCGCCTACAAATCCAACACGCTAATATACTATAGATCCGTGAGTAGAGTGAAGTCATTAAACCCGTGCAATATAGATATTAGACTAACACACATTAGTAGACCCTAATTCCATTGTTTTCTTTTGTGTCTATTCGAGTATTACACGTTGACTAATAATTTTTATTTCACGGGTTAAATGCCTTCACTCTAAGAAACGCCCTGCTGTCATCAGCCCAGAGGCTACAATTTCAGGTATCAATTTGAATAAGATCACTTATTATATTTCAGTTTTCATTCGGAATTATTTAAATTGGGGGGGGGGGAAGGGGGCTATCAAAAAGTGATGGTCATTTTATATTTATATCGATTATAATAGAGCAGTTTTCGTATGACTGTGAAAAGCTCAGTGCCGTAAGCGTGAAGTGCCGTGACCGTGATGCTTTCTAGAATTTTAATTGGCTGATTTTTTTTCACGCGTAATTTGATTGGTCTAAAAGTGCCGTGATCTTGGCGTGACCGTGTCCGTGCCGTTTTTAAGCCGTGTTCCGGGTATTTGATTGGATGGAGAGTAAATTCTCGTGCAATGTGATTTGTCTGGCGTATCCCTTGCCGTGTCATGGCCGTGTTCGTGCCGCGAATTGTTCACAGTCATACGAAAACTGCACTAGCTTGGGCTACCTGTGATTTCACATGATCGGATTGGATGAATGTTAGGATCCCTGTGATGTAGTACAGCGGCGTTGCGCTAGTTGATAAATACCAACAAAAGTTCCCCAAGCATTTGAACGTTTTTTATTCCTTCGATCTCCTCAAAATCAAAGCATTTAGAAGGTAGGTAGGAGGACTTTGTCAACTCTTGCAGTTACGTGAGATCCTAACTAATTCAAGAAAAGAAACATTACCGCTCTTGATTAGAATTTACGAGACTTGTATTTAATTAGCCATTGTATTTAACTAGCATATAATAAGCTTATATTTTCATTTTCGATGGGGGTTTCATTGTGACTTTTTAACATAATATTGCATAATTGTAGTCAAGTCATTCTTAGTTTTGAAATGCATTCTTTTATATATCTTTTTTATGCTTTTCTTTGGGGAAAATATTCAGAGTTTGACAGTAAAGATTTCAACATTTATACAGATTAGGACAGTAAATTATATTGACCCTGCTTTGAACACGGAAAAAAGTATTACTTTTTTACTTTAGGACGTAACATTTGTTTTAAATCAAATGCTAGAAAAACTACATATGAGAGAACTCCAATTTTTAACACATTTTTAGTACCAATTTAATACTCGTTTTCTATGTTATTTTCAATAGTTGGCTATATATATATTCAGATTGAGAACATGAAGGCACTAGTTATTGTGATGTTCATCATGTGTGCTTGTTACGGCATGTCAGAGCTGATCAAAGACAGCGAGTGGCAAGCATGGAAAGTATTCCACAACAAGAACTACGAAACTAGAGATGAAGAGGGTCTTCGTTA